TCTGACCTCGTTCGCTAGGACCGGATCAGATCTACTCATGTCTGATTAAATCTGATCAGATAGGGCCAATATTTTGATCAAATCAGATCTGAGCAAATTGGATCTGATTTGATCTGATCAGGTCTGTTCAGATCTTTTCCATTTTTTCCCGGGCATTGAATCCAATAATACGTATATTCTTTAAAAGTCTTTATTTAAACTTATTTTTAGTAAAAAGAATTAGTATAGTTAAAGAAAATACATTTCGAAATTTTTAATAAATTGATTATTATGCTTAGCATAAACGATTAATATTATAATACATAGTTTTAAAAATTGCATTTTTAAAGATGTAGTTATATATCTTTATTATATACATGCTTTGATATAGTAGTAATTTTTTATATTATATTATTCATTATAGGTCCACAGAGAAAAAAAAGAAGACAGAACACGTTCTGGAAGAGATACTAATCAATATGGTCGCAGAAAAAGAAGAAAGAAAAGAAGAAGCAAAAAGAAGAGAAGCACAGCGCGAAGAAAGCAAACTTGATCGAGAAAGAAGACATAAAGAGCAATTGAAAGTGCAATCATCATTAGTATCTATTTTACAACAATTTTTGGATAAAAAGTAGCTTTTTCTATATAAGTAAGTGTAATATTAATAATTTAAGGCTTCTGTACACTTATGTTGACGTAATTTTGTTTTGTTTTTAATTTTATTTCTTTTTATTTCTGTTTGGACATCGAAGTTCACGCACGAGTCGTTAACGAGTAAGTTTATAATAAGTAATGTTAATAATTTACTTTCGTTTACTTGCGTGGATGTTATTTATTTACGTTTTTTATTTCTGTTTATTTTTTAACATCGGGGTTTACGCACGAGTCGTTAACGAGTAAGTTTATAATAAGTAATGTTAATAATTTACTTTCGTTTACTTGCGTGGATGTTATTTATTTACGTTTTTTTATTTCTGTTTATTTTTTGACATCGGAGTTCACGCACGAGTCATAATAGATACAATTATAATTTTATTACTTTGATAACGATAGTAAATGACAGAAACACAAATTAAAATTTAATTTTAATAGAAATAAAACCAAAGATTAATCATAAATGAACGTTTATTTATTAACCTAAATATTTATTTATGAAAAGAATATACAAAATCCTTCGTACAAATTCATTGATACAAAGTAGTCTTAGAATTAATTGCCAATAGGTGATTTAAAATAGGTATTTAAAATAGCATATTTTGAACATCAAAATATAACATTAATGTTCTTTACAATTACAATACGTAGAAATTTAATATTAATTATTCATTTATCTCATTTGCAACGCATTCATTATTGTTATTCTCTTAGCATTCCCCAACTCATTGTTATTTCCATGAATTTGTGCCTCATGTTCATAATGTTGGACACCGACAGTTATAACATCACTTTGCAATATACAAATATTGTGTAACACACAACACGCTATAATGAATTCAGGAATCTTTTTGACGTCTGTTAATGGTAAACAATCTAATAAAATTCTAAAACGTATCTTTAATTGACCAATCGCTCGTTCAACTGCCATTCTTGTTGAAGATAGACAATAATTAAAATTTTTTTGACGTTTTGTCAAATGTCCATTGTCTCGAAACGGTACCATTACACACGGGTGAATTGCGTATGCCGCATCTCCAATAATATGGGAATTGTTCGGGAAGTACACTTCAGATCTCTCAAGAAAATCTATCACTGGGGAGTTTCTAAAAACCCGAGCGTCATGTACTGATTCCACTTCACCTGCATAGCAGTGCGTAAAGAGTCCACGCGAATCACAAATGACCTGAAGATTGATAGACGGAAAACCTTTTCGGTTTATGTATGAAGCTGAATCCATTGGTGGTGCTCGAATCTTGATATGTGTCCCATCTATGGCGCCGATTACACCAGGGAAGCCAGAAACTCTTGCAAATTGATCAATTACATTATCGGCAACTTCGACAGGCCACTGGATGAATCGGGGCGCGATGCAATGCAATGCATAAGTAACACGTCTTACGCTTCTAAATGCCGTTGCCTTACCCACTCCAAATTTGACGCAAATAGACCTACAATAAACCACAAAATAAAAAATGAAAAATTGTAACAAACGATATAACAGTAATGATAATGATTACGTATACAGAAAACAAAAACACAGTGTATATAAATTCAAAGCATGAAAGTATGAAATTTTTACGTACGTATACGAATCAGGAGTAGCCATAAACCATAAAGCAATAAGCAGTTGTTTTTCCGCAGATATAGATTTTCTGCCAATTTCGGTACCTGTCGCGTTTAGCGCTGGCCCGATCAGTGTTAAAATTATTTCAAATGTTGCCAGAAACATCCTAGAACGTTTACATTAGGTTATGATATAAGTAAAATGAAATAGAGAACTTATTCGACATAACATGACAACATAATATGATTTTAATAATACGAAAACACAATATAAACGAAGTGCCTTAACGGTCAGCTAGATCTTAGTACTGATATTTATTGCATAATTTTATATACCTTTTCAAGTTTATTAAATTGCACATCTAATAAATTTTTTTGTTAAAAAACAGTTCAAATAGTTGAACAAGAATTAGTAATATCACCCCGGGAAAAAATGGA